ATTGGTCCTTAGGTCAAGGTTTTGACCTTCAGGCCTAGTTCACTACACTGTCACACAATGATCTCTCAAAATGTTAGCGAATACACCTGTACCAGGGAGTTTGTGAGGCATATTTGTTAGAAACAGGTCTAAGATGGAGGACTTTTCAGGACGGTTTTTGTTTAGTCTAGTCGGAGAGTTAATCAGTTGGGTTAGACTGAGAGACAGGCAACATTCCTTGAATTTATCACGGGGGGGGGGGGGTCGACTTACCCCAGTCAATGTTGAAATCTCCTGCCAAAAATATCTCTTTGAATTTTAAATTAACAAGGAAATCCATCAGGGAAGACTGAGCCTCAGGAGTTGCTGAAGGTGGACGATAACATCATACTACAGATAAGATCTGGCCTCCGTTCAAAGTGATGTTTAAAGTTAAGGCTTCAAACTGGTTTGGAATTGTTTTAGAAGACACAAGACTAGCCACCAGACAATCTCTGATGTAAACAGCGACTCCCCCCTCCCCTTTTTTGACGATCACAGCAGTAGATGTCAAATCCATTGATTGCCAGGTCATTATTCATTACAGATTTGTTGAGCCAGATTTCAGAGATCAAGATTACATCTGCCCCAGAAGAACTTACCAGAATTTTCAAGGCATCAAGTTTTCTCAGAAGGCTACGAGCGTTTACATGTAGAAAATGAAGTCCTGACATGTTTTTAAAGTCATTTGATGTCATATAAATAGTGGGGGGTCCAGGGTTGGGATGAATCCCTGAGAGCAGTACAACATTATTATCAGACATTTTCTTGAGTTTTTCGTGACTGATGTGTAATTACAGGAGTTAACAGTGTGACAATTAGCCCCCATAATCGAACCATGAGAAACATTAAAGAAGACGCAATCATTCAGAACCCAAAAACAGTGAAAGTTGCAGTGATGGGCAGATCCAAGTGTATTAAGAAGGTTCAGTGACTCCAGATAGTCTGAGATCTGAAAATGGTGACAATAATATGAATGGTGCAGAAAAGTCTCAGACCATAAGACATCACAAATCAAATGGGCAAACAAACCCGACGAGGTGGCCCAACTGCAGTTTGAGTTGGGCTGAGGGGGCTCCGGCCCCTTGTGAAGATGGATGGATGCTCCCATGGGAAATAGAAGCTGGGTCCAGAACCAACAGGCAGAAACAGATAATTCGCAACAAATAGCATAACGAGCTGCCAGAAAATCTTCCTGAAGTGAAAGGCATGGCCCTTGCCCGTTTCAGGCTAACAGGGGACAACAGCGTGATCTGGAATAAAAATAATTAATATCCAGGTGAGTTTGGATGGAGGCCTGTAACAACTCCAATGCAAACTCCAAACTTCTCTCGAGCACCACGCAGCGCTGTTCCTCCATGCTGCTCCTCCACGCTGCTCCTCCACACTTGCATGCATATTTTTGGTCTGTGGGAGGAAACCGGAGTACCCAGAGAAAACCTACGGATGCACGGAGAGAACATGCAAAACTCCATCCAGAAAGGCCCCCGGGTAGGGATTTGAACCAGGAACCTGCTCACTGAGAGGCAGCAGCTCTACCAGTTCTGTCACCGTGCTACCAGCCTAAGAAGAACCAACCTGTAATAACTCTGGGTAATATCCCTTAGAGGAGAGGCTGCAGTGTGGTTTAGCTATAACTCAAATGGTAAGTCTACTGGGTCGATCAAGAGCCCTCATATGTGAGCAGAGTGGACAGGAGAGGGCTCAGCACACAGCCCTGAGGGGAGCCAGTGCTGAGGGTTATGGTGGAGGAGGAGAAGTTGTGTATTCTCACAGACTGCGGTCTATTTGTTAAGAACTCAGGTTCTCCACCTCACTGAACCATCACCTCTGGAAGTCTCGACTGAGCTGTAAGAGAACTTCCTACATTTCTTTTTGGAAAAAAATTGCTACCACCCAGGCTCTCATTTCCCCTCCAACTCATGACCCATCCATCCCACCTCAATCTGTAACTATATTTGACCATTTTGAACCCATCACTCTATCTTCTCTAGAGCAGGTCATGTGCAGCTTGAAACCTTCTGGTTCCCCCTTTGATGTGGTCCCCCATCGACTACTAAAGGAGGTTTTTTCTTACTCTAGGTCCATCCATTCTTGCTATTGTAAATAGTAGTTTATCCACTGGCATGGTGCTAAAAACCGTTAAACATGCTGCTGTCCAGCCTCTCCTGAAAAAAACCAAACCTTGACCCCTCAGTCGTATCCAACTTCCGGCCTGTCTCCAAACTCCCATTTGTTTCTAAACTACTGGAGAAAATAGTTGCGTCCCAGTTGAAGTGCTTCATGGAGGGTCACGCTATCTTAGAGCTATTCCAATCTGGCTTTAAACCTCTCCATAGCACTGAAACTGCCCTACTGAAAGTTTTTAATGACACTTTCTTATCCACAGATGCCGGTGATTCTGTGCTGCTTGTCCTGTTGGACCTCACAGCCGCCTTTGACACCATTGACCATGAGATCCTCATTGCTAGGTTGGAGCAGTGGGTGTGTATTACAGGGTCAGCCCTCAATTGGTTCAGATCTTACCTCGCTGAGAGATCCTTTTGTGTCTCCATCAAGGATTTTAGTTCTGCAGCGGCATAGCTTAAATGGGGGGTTCCGCAGGGGTCCATCCTGGGTCCCCTCCTATTCTCTTTATACCTACTGCCATTTGGTACTATTTTCCGGAAACACACCATACCCTTTCACTTCTATGCCGATGACTGTCAAATTTACTTCCCCCTAAGACACAATGGTACATGCTCTATTCAACCTCTGCTCAACTGCCTGGCTGACATCAGGGACTGGATTGCTTTAAATTTCTTAAGTTTCAAAGAAAAGAAGTCTGAAGTCACGTTGTTCCCTCCCAACAACACAATCACAAACCACTGTATCGACCTGTCCGCTCTAACCCTGTCAGAAAAACAAAGAGTCACTAATCTGGGCGTGATAATGGACCCTTCCCTGAAACTTAACAATCATGTAAACGTGATTGTTAAATCATGTTTCTTCCAACTGAGGCGGCTGTCTAAACTGAAGCCCATATTATCCAAAAATAACCTGGAGACAATAATGCATGCATTCATTACATCTAGGCTTGATAACTGCAATTTGCTCCTGTTTGGTATCAGTCAGACCTCCATTGCACGACTACAACTGGTCCAGAATGTAGCAGCCTGATTTTTAACCAGTACAGGCAAAAGAGAACACATTACACCAGTTTTGGCCTCACTGCACTGGCTACCGGTTCACCTTCAAATCCAGTTCAAAATACTCCTGTGTGTCTACAAATCGCTGGACAGTTCCCCCCCATCCCCCCCACCCCCATCTCTCTGATCTGCTACAGCCATATGCACCACCACGTTCCCTGAGGTCAGCGGACCAGTTGCTCCTCACAGTTCCAGGAACTCGTCTTAAGCGCAGAGGTGACATGGCCTTCTCTGTAGCAGGACCAAGACTTTGGAACGAGTTACCTCTGCTTGTCAGACAGGCCCCCTCCATCTTGGTTTTCAAGTCCCGTTTAAAACCCCACTACTATTCAGTAGCTTTCAACACCAGATGATCTGTGTTTTGAACCTGTATGCTCCACACTGGTTAGTCGTCATATTTATTATCTGCATCGTTTTTATGTCTATATTCTGATTTACCTCATTTTGTATATTGCTTTGTGTGTTATCTGTTTTTCTGTCTGTACAGTACTTTGGTTGGCCTTGTCACTATTTTAAGTGCTCTATAAATAAAATGGTATGGTATGGTATGGTAAGAAGTCTATTACCCAGTTGCAAATGGATCGGGCTTAGTCCTAGTGTGAGTAGTTTGTCCATCAGTATTTGGGGCATCATGGTATTGAAGGCAGATGCGAAGTCCACAAAGAGCATACAGACGTAGGAGTCCTTCTACTCCAGGTGGGTGAGAGCAGTGTGAACTACAGAGGAGATGGCGTCTTCTGTTGATCGATTTTAATGGTATGCGTACTGGTGAGGGTCTTCACTGATCTTGATGGTTGTTTTGATGTGGGTCATGACCAGTCTTTCGAAGCATTGAGCAACTATCGGGGTGAGGGCTACGGGCCAATAGTCATTCAGACCAGCTGCCATCAAACCAGCTTATGTAAGCTGCTTTCTCTTGCCTTTGCTGTCTTGGACCCCTTAAAAGAGCAAGTTTGCTGAGAACCATGTTCTCTTTGAAATCTGATTTGAAGAAATCTAATAAATGTCTAATAAATAAATTTATAATAGCATTAATAAATGAATGTCACCAAGTCACAAAAATGTGAATATTTAAAATAGTGCAATGCAGAATAATTATTGATTATTTCAACATACATAAAAAATAAACATGAATTTGAGTGTTAGTTATGTAATGTGATGGTGAAAACACTTTAAAGTTGATAAAATACTGTTTTTGTAAACTGCTTTGAAATCTTTGAGAGTTTGGAATTTTAAAGACGGCAGCAAACTTTGTTCTTAGTTGCATTTAGACTACTCTTTAGCTCGTCAGTCCTGTCAGAATTGCTACAACTAAACTGAGGACATTAAAAATGCTGTCTACAACAGATAAATTTAGTTTTTTTTAAATAATCTTTCCTCAGAACCTAATTTCAAAATATCTAAATGATCCCTTTAATTTCTACAGAGTTCCCAAAAAGTTTAGTAGTTTGACAAAAAGGTTGCAAGGTTTGTGAAAAAAATTTTTTTTTAACTTATTCTGCACAGAGCAGGAACATGATGCTCACCTGTAACCAAGAAACGCCATCAGAGCAACGACGTTCAAAGGGGTTGGGGCTTCAGTTGGACAGGGCACTTTACAGCTTTTCACCTGCAACATAGGTCCCACACTGCTCTGTTTTAGATGGTTCAAAGCTCCGGTCAATGCCCCTGAACCACAAGAAGCTACTGTCTGATTAGACCATCTGTAGCGGACGTGCAGAAAGCGGGATTGTACATAACAAAGTCCCACACGGACTTGCTCCCCTGGAATACCACAACGGTCACACACAGACCAGGACTGGAAGCTGGTGAAGACCTGGTACAAAGGGTGAGTATGCACCCTGATGTTCTTCTGGTGCCTCCTCTGCTCCTCAGTGACCCTAGTGGAACCAATAGATCGAGTTGGATGTTATTATTTCAGAGACGTTTTCCTTTTTCAAATTTCATACTCACAGATTCAAATTTTTAATTACATTTTTTGTAAATTCTTAAGATATTTTTGAGATAAAACAATCTGTAAATGTACTGTAATTTACAGTGTGTCGATAGTGATGTTTATTTTCTGCGTGCATAGGTATAATTTTTAATTTTCTGGGTTATATTTGCTCTAAGTCCAAAATGTTTTTTATTTATTATTATTATTATTATTATTATTATTATTATTATTATTATTATT